GGCTTTCCCTTACTTCCTGGTTCTCACTGGTTCCCTAACGGATATCAATCCATGGTCCAACCTGAAACAAATAGAATCACAACAGACTAATCCTTGAAAACCGTGGCATGCAGATAAATTCAATCAACGAGTCTTTAGTAGAACGAAATCACTTCTTGAAATCTTCTCCTGGCTATGAGTGAAGAAATAATTTACAGTGTGCTTTAATCTTATGCATTTTATAGCAGCTATTTATTGGAAACTAAAATCCTGACAGTCGTCAAACTACGTGCACAGCATAAGAAACTATGAGAAAATTAACTCCTAATGAGTTTGCATATAAAAAGTCCTGAATCACCTAAAGTCTAGGTTCCTAATGAGCATCTAAGCGTTGGTGAGAAATAACAGAAGGTTCTAGAAAAATAGGTGGAACATCATCCAGAAAATGTCAGCCGCAATAATAGCAAGATTTCAACTGTGGAATCATATGCTTCTCCATTTAATACACATGAAGAAAAAGCACTTCTAGACCATTTGATTCTTTTAGTTTCTGAGATAACTTTTGGGTGGTTCTCATACTAAAAAAGCTAACATTTCATGTGGTATAACTGCTTTTTCGCTTAGCTTCTCATTCTTCACACTTCAGAAATAATATACCCACAAACGCAAGATTTGATTTCTCAACTTAGAAAACTAAAAGCATTGTTCATTAAATTATTTGGCATTCATCATTTTCCCCATATTTCGCTTTGAAGAATCGCATCAATTAGTCAGCTATCGTTTCCTATAAGCCGAAACTGTGGCTAGGTCCGCTGATGTACAAGATGACGAGAAGTGTCTTCTTAAAAGATTGACAACGACTTTTCATGTTTTATATTTTGTAAAGTTGAAGATCATCATTCTACAGCTTTTGTTTGCATCAGATAGGAACAAATAATCAAAAAGGGTAATTCAGATGTTATAATTCCAATTATTCATTGTAAATTTGGTTGAAATATCCCATTTCAAAGGAAAAACAACTCCAAAGTTATTTTTGAAAAAGAAAATTTGTTTGAATTTTCATACTACTGAAAGTAGTATAATTTTAAACACAAAAGTAGTTGATAGGTAATTCACTTCAATAAAATTAAAATCAGGTGATATGATATCGTCTGCTAGTATCATTACAACTTTTTTCGTACTCATGACCAGTTTTCTGTATATTGAGGTATCCCAGTTAGGAAAATTATGAACAACTGATTTTATTTAATGCTATGTTAATCCTGTGAGTCCTTTTCACAATATAAACATTTAGTGGTATTTTTTGTTTTCGTTGAGATGTAACTTTTATTAATTCGTGCAGAATTGCCTGAAACACACGAGTCTTTAGCAAAATAAAAGTTAAGGTAAATTTGTACACAGAAACGCTACATCACATGTGGAAATTTTTCAGAGTACGTAGCAGTTCATAAGATTACAAGAGAAAAGTCAATACATCCATATTTAAACAAGAGAAACATCATTATAAGAAGTTACTTTCTAACAGCTGTATGTCATCGGCATCTCTGCCTTCGAAGGAAATTAACAGTGGGGCAGTCTCGTTTCCTTGGAAGTTTTCGTCACTTATTAGGTTGAGGACAGTTATATTCTTTAGGGGCAAGATTAAATAAGAGGAAAATAATAATAAGTGTAAAAAGTTTCCCTAAAATGTTAAGACTCATTTTACCAGCTTCACTATATATTTTCAACAGATGTCAACTGACCAAGTGTTAATTTCCGAAACCAGTTAACATGTGTCGAGGTAAAGTCGTATGGTGTGCTTGGAGGATTGACAGGAAACTATTGAGATGAATGATATTGTTCCCTGAGAACAAAAGAAACCAGACTAATACAAGAATGAAATTCGTCTTCATTAAAGGTTAAAACTGGCATTATTAGGGGATTTAAAGTGAAGTGAAGGCAGTCAATACACCGAACGGTTGTTAACTACGTGAATGTAGGACAAATAATCGTCAGATTCAACTTTGCATGCTTTTTATAGGTTTCAGTATCTCTGAATGTGAACCGTGCTTGCTTTTTCTCCTAATCACTTACCAAATGACAACAAAATAAATTTCTCCAGCAGTGGATAAGATTTGTAGCTCATATAAGAGCTTTTAGTGTTTTCGTGGGATTTCATTCAGAGAAAACAAATGATTCTTAGACTACTGCACCTACGAGTAAATAGCTTACCTTGACTTTTCTATCTGTCTAACTGTTGTCGACTCATGACGAAATCTTTATTTATTTGCACCGCGTTTTGGGAAGTCTCTTACAGCTTACAATGTAATTAGCTGTACAGGAGTATGTGAAATAGTAGACCTACATAAAAGTGAACATCAGAGGTAGTTTATCGCTAACATATTCTATGTCTATAGTGAGAGGGTTATTTATTGGTATAGAGAGTATTTTTGATGCACTTCAGCTACTACTATTCACTACTTCAGCTATATTATCTCCTTCTAATCCAGGATTTATAATAAGTGTCTCATTCGCTTTCGTGAGCTGGCGAAGAATGATTTATTTCTTAATGTTTCAGTTGAATAATCTTCAAGAATTTCATTATTTGTGAATGGTATTCAAATGTATCTGGGTTCGTTGTCAATCAATCATCCTTGGACAAAATCTTCAAAACTCTGGCTCTTAGGGAATTTATGGGTTTTCTCTTCATATTTTGATGTTCCTGATAATAGAATCTAATGAAGGGTCCCTCAGGGATTTTGACAGATCAATATATTTAAATTAAACAGATATCACTCTTGTTTAGCATCCAAGGGTAGGAATTCAATAGTACCATTTACATATCCGTTGTAAGACTGAAGACTAAAGATAACATTTTCGAGTGGATCATCCTCTAAGCTACCTTTGAAGATATTAATTAAAATAAGCCATAATAGAGATGTTATGGTAACTACATCCTCTTACTTGTAAGGCACATCACTAAGTGCCATCAATAGGTAGGAAGAAAATTTGATCAGGGACAGATTTTCTAACAAATATCAAACATGCCGTTAGAGTATATGCATACCGGCTACATCAATTTCTTACCAGTGAGATTGAAGAAGTCGAAAGTATCTGAAAACCTGTATCTACGATGATTAGATTTCATTGATTCAAAAACATTTGACAATCATTTTGTCTCTTAGTTAGGGCATAGGAAAATAAGGCTTTTACCCACCTTTGGGACACCGCATAAAGATAGTATTTCTAAACCAGAGAGTCAATTTCATGTCACATCTTTCTCTGACCAACTTTCAAAATATTGGTAGATTCGAGGAATTGTATTCTCTCGAGGTAATTAAGTTAACTATTATGTGTTTCAATTAGATTTCATATCATTTTCACACATATTGATAAAGTGTGCTTATATAGTTAGGAAAAATGCAGTATCGTGGACCTGAATTCTCCTAAGTTTTCATTGAAAGACTGGAACAGGCTGAGTGTATTTATTAACTTCAGATGAAACAGTACAGGACTTTAATTTTATAAAACTGAATTGGTTGGTATGTGTATAGTGAATGAAGATATACTGGATTAACTGAATGACTTTCGGTTTAAAATGACAAGTGGGTCAAGTGGAAAAGATTCAGAGTGAGAATAGTAATAACAAATTTAAGACAGCAATCGAACTTATTGCAACATCTGAATATATTCATAAATTTGAGGGAATGCCTTGGGCCTGACCCTATGCATGCGATGAAGCAAGGCATACACATATACAAATAGATAGGCGAAAAGACAGACCACAAACTAAGGCATCCAGCAGGTGTGAATACAACTAATTTAGAATTGGACTTAAGTTGCATCCTGGCTTGTGCATAGAAGATAATGGTTGACAACACTTTAAGCTATCAAAGTTATTGTATCCCAAGCACTTCTCCTGTAGAATCAATCCAACATGAACACCCTGACTTATTTTTTAGCTCTTAATTGAATATATGTGAAGAATGAACGAAATTATTTATTATATTATTCCCTTGCATTCATAGTAGAACATAGGGCTTCAACAACATATCTCCACTTTGTTCCGTTTTCAGCTACGTCCATGACTGACAGAACTCTCTAATCCTTCCTCATACAATCTCCTCTATGTCACTCTAGGACGACCCACTCGTCACTTCCCATTTGGATTCCACTCGAAGGCTCGGCGTATGATGTCATTCGGCGACCTCCTCAGTGTATGCCCGATTCATCTCCACTTTCTCCTACATATTTGCTGAGCAATCGGCTCTTGGTTTGTTTGTTCCCACACTTTCTTGATGCTTAGTCTTTCTGGCCATTTGATCTCGCCTAGTTAACTAGCTCGCTAGTTTTATAGTCGGTCCCAAGCCAGGGTAAAGAGGGAGGGTTAGGCGTGGGGCTAGCAGTCCCACACCACTAAATCTTTCAAACTGATAGAGATACTTCATCACACAGAAAATATGTTACAAATGAAAGAAATTGTAAAAAAATTGAAGCAAATAATTCAATTACTTGTATAAGTTATGCAGTATTAATAAAGTACCTTAGATGTGAATACACTGATTGACAATGAAAATTGACTTACCTCATTGAGATGTCAATAGCTTTTTAGAGAGCGATGGATACTTAACACTACTTGATACAACAATCCTTAGAGTTGTATATTGTAGAGTTGTACTATTGTATCGTAGCTATTCAGTGCACCAGAGTGTTTATCACTTATAAAAGCCCTGGACTTGTAAATCGTTTCACTGGAAGACAGTTCTTTAATCAGAGTCTGCCATTACTTTATTCACAGATTTCCTTCACAAGAGTTACTGACTTTATTTAAATTTTTAATCTTCTCTAACATAAAGGCCTGGTCTGAATTAGGAATATAAAACATAGTGCATAGAACACACACACTACTATTTACTGTTAAAGCTAAGAAAGACCACCTATGGTGACTAAGGACGGTCGATACATTGTGGCTACCTGACATAGTCATTGATTTTAACCCTTATTTTATAAAACCAGCTTCTTATATTAGGTCAGTTAAGATTGACCTTAAATCATAAAGTTTATAATTTAAAGACTAAGCAATACAATAAGCATTAAACAATGTCTCGTTTTAGCAAAAAGATATTCAAATTGGAATTAGTTTGACATTTGAATCTATGCTATTGTACGTGAGTTCAAACATGTGCTTCTGATTATCTTTATATTATGATTACTTACATACATACATGTATATTATGATTACTTGCGTACGAGTTATGACGTGTATTCACTGGTATTACACTGATAGTAACAAGTATCATGAAATCGTTTATTATGGCATTAAACTGTTCCGTTAAATATCGAGGAAAGCTACAATTTCCAAGTAGTTCACCCAGTTGAAAATCGTTACTGAAGGTCGACTATTCAGTCTCAGACCAAGGCAATTCACTAGAGTGTTATATTAATCTATATAGATACCACAGTAAAATTTTTAATGAGTGTTTAAAACTAATGACTGTTAAACTCCTAGCCAGATTGTGCCTAAATAAATAGCTTTCTGTAGGGTAGTTAGTAAATGGTCTGAGTCAAACGGTCTTAAATTGAATCCTTCTAAATGTCAAACTGTTAAATGCAGTTTGAGATATAAAAGATAGCTAAAAGAAGTCATCGATTCTCAGGACAGTTTTAAGATTGACGACAATGTGATATAGGAATTAAATCAGAAATTAAGTATCTTGAACTTATTCTCTCTTATGATCTCTCCTGGTCTTCCCATGTCTCCAGTAAAATATTCCGCCTGACATTTTACATTAAGAAGTTAAGGCACTCGGATATAACTCAACCCTTCCTCTTACAGTTCATAAACTCTTGCGTCCTACTTATTCTTCTTTATTGTTCACCCTTATTCTTTCCTGGTTTGCTTAAAAAGGACTATATCACAATTCGTAGAATGCTTTAGACTGTCAGTAGGATGGGAGGTGTCCTAGTGGACCACATAGTTAACGTCGTTGTCGATAGGCACTTGGCTTCATGCAATCAATTCGCTAGAGGGATTTTTTCTGACTTAGAGCATCCACTTTACCCTCAGCTTTCACCTTGCATCTCCTCAGGTAGAACAAGAACTAAATTTCAGAATATGCTCGCACGTCTAAGTATAAAAATTCTATGATACCATACTTGGCACGTATTTTATGTGATGTAAATAGTGTCAGGCAAGAATTAACTAACCTTTTTTCATCTAGAAAATAAACAATTTCCTCAATCCACCCTTATATACCTTCAAGTTTACTTTTATTATTTCTATTACATGTATGGTCCTGTTGTTTCTTTGTTTTACTCTCATGATTGCGAACACCAACTTATTTCTGTGAGTGCTGTAATCTTTGTTTTCCGCTCACCATATCATGTAAAGGGAACATTATATTAAAAATTTTTAAACATGTTGGGATTTCTATACCATATCGACAATACTGTGTGAAACAAGCCCACGACAAGTTTCTTTTGTATTAATATTATTACCTTAGCTGTTATAATTATTATTATTATTTCCATTCTATATGCTGCATGGTTTCGACATTACCCCTATTATAAATGTGGAAAATTTTCTGTGTGTGATTAATCTTATTTATAATATGAGGAAATTAGATGCAACATTGTGATTATTATTATTATTAAAATTTTTGGTGTGATTGTGTTCTTTGATCTGGATAGTTTAATTGTCTTACTAGACATCATCCTCAGCGCATACTTTGATTTGAAGAGCAGCGAAATTTCTCCTTTATACTGTGATTATTCCCTTATGTTCCGAGTAAAATAGAGGGCTTCAAAAGAACACCTCCATTTTCTCCTGGTCTCTGAAGTCCTCCTTAGATAGTCCCACAAATGTTCATAAGCTTTCATCTTCTAGTCACACGATCTCTTCCCTGACACCCTCGGACACCCAACTGGTCGATTCTTATTTGGGTCCAACTCTACGGTTTGGCGTGTGATGTTACTTGACGTCTTTTCAACTCATGCCTTAATCATCCTCATATTCTCCCTCATATTTGTTGAGCAACAGGTTCTTGGTTGGCTTTTTCCCAGAGTTTCTTGTTTCATCTCCTCTCTAAACGCCATCTGATCTTCATTATAAAGCTAACAAAGACAGTTGTTGAGGAAAGTCTGCAGCAGGTTGTTATTATTATTATTGCCCCCTTGGGTTCCTAGGGGAACATAGGGCTTCAACTTCACGTCTCCATTTGCTTCTGTCTTCTGCTGTACTTTTCGCCTTCATCCATGTTAGTCCATACTGTTTCAACTCCTCTTCACACTATCTCCTCCATGTCACCCTTGGACGTCCCACACGCCGCTTCCCTTTCGGGTTCCACTCAAGGGCGTGGCGCGCGATGTCACCCAGCGGTCTCCTCAGCGAGTGTCTGATCCATCTCCACTTTCTCATGCATATTTGTTGGGTAATTGGTTCTTGCTTTGTTTGTTCCCATAATTCCTTGTTGATGATTCTTTCCGGCCCGGCCATCTGATCTTCAGTATAGATCCAGCGAAGACAGTTGTTAATAAAGGTCAGCAACAGGCTGTTGGAGATATTCTTTGTGACCCTCCAAGTTTCTGATCCGAATAGAAGAACTGAATGACTTGACGTTTGTATTGAAAATCCGACGAATTTTGTTGGTGATGCTGATTGACGAAGAGTTCCAGATTGGTTTCAGGTTGATGAATGTGTTTCTCGCCTTCCCGATTCTCGCTCGATTTGACATCCTCGTCTGTTCTGACTGCGTGTAGTTTAGACAATGCTCCCTAGATAAGTGAAGAGAATGAAGTAACCTCTTTCAAATCCCTCCCGTTGATGGTGATTGGCGCTGGATGTTGCTGTTGTTGTTTTTCTTGGTTGATTGTTTTCATAACCTCCTGGAGTCCTGTCTTTGCTGCTTCTTCGACCAGTTTGTCGGTTTTCGCTTATAAGTCTTCGATTTTGTGTGACATCAAACATAAATCATCCACACGCGAAATCCAGGTCTTCTAGGTTCTTCACGTCGTCGGTCCAGGATATTCCTGTCTTCTCGTTTCCCACTGTCTGACGCATAATCCAGTCCACCACAATTAGGAATATCATTGGTGATAATAAGCACCCTTGTCTGTCTTCTGTGTTTACTCCAAACGCCTCGCTGAGTTTTCCGTTGTGGATCACTTGACATGTGCCGTTGTCGTACAGCTGTTGAATAAGGTTGATGAATATTTGGGGTACGCCATAGTACTCGAGTAATTTCCAAATTACTTCACGGTCAACGCTGTCGAAGGCCTTCTCAAAGTCTATAAAGTTGAGGTAGAGGTTTGATTGCCATTCCATGCTTTGTTCTGATGATGATGCGTAGAGTTGCAATTTGGTCAGTACATGATTTGCCTTTCCTGAATCCAGCTTGTTCTGGTCGGAGTTCTGTCTCCAGTGCGTCCTTTAATCTCTCCAGGATGATGCGACTCAGGATTTTACTTGGCGTCGATAGGAGCATGATTCCTCGCCAGTTCTTGCAGAGTGAGGCGTAAGTCGCCCTTCTTTGGTAGTTTCACGAGGTAACCTTTCCTCCAGTCAGTAGGCACCTTTCCCTCCTTCCAGACCTTTTGCAATAATGGAGTCAGCATGTCTGCTGTAGTCTCTGGGTCCGCTTTCAGTGCTTCAGGGGGTATTCCATCTGGTCCGGCTGCTTTTCCAGCTTTCAGAAGCTTGATTGCGTTCAAGACTTCAGCTCTCGTTGGAGGATTGGTGTCAACTTGCAGTTGTGTGCGCGCTGTTGTTGGTATTTCTGGACGGGTTGCAGGTGATGGTCGGTTCAAGAGTCCTTTGAAGTGATCCGCCCATTGTTTAATCTGTTTTTCTTCCTTGGTAATTGGGTTCCCTTGGCTGTCTTTTATAGGTTTCGCTTGTGTTGGTCTCTTCCCGGATAGAGATTTGGTTATCTGATATAGTGTCCTCAGGTCCCTTTTGCCTGCTGCCTTCTCAGCTTCAGTGGCCAGGTTGTCGTAGAATCGTCTTTTGTCCTTCCTAGCACTCTTCTTCACTTCTTTGTCCAGTGCTGTGTAAGTTGAGCTCAGCGTCTCCTTCTCCTGTCCGTCCTTGCATTGAATCATTTTCTCTTTCACCATTCTCCTCTCTTCTATTAATTTCCAAGTGTCCGTTGAGAGCCATTCCTTGTCTTGTCTCTTCTTTCTTCCTAGAACCGTTGAACACGTTTCGTTGAGAATCGCCTTCAGAGACTTCCAATGTTCTTCCACGCATGATTCTTCAGTGATGTCGCGTAGTGTTTCCTGCTTTGCTCTGACAGTTGCAGTGAAAGTGTCTTTTGTGGTTGTGTCCTTCAGTAATTGAGTGTTGAACTTGCATTGTGGCCTATCCCCAGCTATCCTCGAGGCTTTTAGTTTCACCTTGAAAGTCCCTTGTACTAGATAGTGGTCTGAACCCACATCTGCTCCTCTCCTTGACCTTGTGTCCAGTAGGCTCCGTCTCCACTTTCTTGAAATTGAGATGAAGTCTATTTGGTTCTTGGTGTTTCCATCTGGTGAAATCCATGTCGTCTTGTGTATATCCTTGTGTTTGAACACACTACCACCAATCACCAAATCATTGAAGGCGCAGAAGTCTGAGAAGAGTTCACCATTGTCGTTCATTTCGCCGAGGGCCTCACGACCCATGGTGAGTTCTCTTCCTGTGTTGTCTCCTCCTAGCTTCGCATTCATGTCGCCCATCAGGATTTTGATATCGCCATTTGGGACGTTGTCCATTATTGCTTGTAGTTGTCTGTAGAACGCCTCCTTCTTCTCTTGTTCTGAGACGTTTGTAGGCGCATAGCATTGAATGACTGTAACTTTCCTTCCTTTTGAGTTGAACCTGGCTGTCATTATCCTGGAGGAGATTGGTTCCCACTGCATGAGAGCTTTGGTTGCTGTTGGTGACATCATGATGGCCACTCCCTCGGTGTGCTCATGGTTGTCCTCTGGGTGGCCGGAAAAGATTACTGTCTCTCCAGTAGGTAGTTGGCACCTTCCAGTTCCGTTCCATCTGCTTTCGCAGATTCCCAACACTTCTATTCTGTACCTTCTCATTTCAGCGGCTATCTGGGCAGCCTTTCCAGTTTCGTACATTGTGCGAACATTCCAGGTACCCATCCTTACTTTTGCTTTCATCGAAAGAAGGCA